TGGGTGGGTGGATGGATGGATGGAGGGAGGGAGGGAGGGAGGTAGGGATGGAGTGAGGAAGGGAGGGATGGAGGGAGGGATGGAGGGAGGGATGGATGGATGGATTGGATGAATAAATAAATAAGTGATTGTTTCAGGCTGAAGCCATCAGAGAGAACATTGGATACCCTACATACATCGTCAACGCCACCAAACTGGCTAAAGAATACAAAGGGGTATGTGGACGTTCTAATACAGATGCATGAATGACGTCATAATGATGCATGAGAACGACATACACCACGGAGTGTATTGTATTGCCTTGGTATTTTGTCACAGAGATGACTTTTTCTTTTTCTTTTTTCAGTTTGATGTAAACAARACAACTCATTTCCAAAACAATTTGAACCGTAAAAGATTTGACAACATGAAGAATTATCAAGAAATTGGAAAACCTGTTGATAAAACAATGTAAGATTTTGTCGTTTCTCTTTCCTCTCCTTTCTTTGTCCCCATCTTCCTTCCTTCCTATCATCCATGCCTATTAATCCCACTCATTTTGATTATTGTTATCTATTGTTATAATAGATGGTCCATGACCCCTCCCACCGTTAATGCTTACTACTCCTCTTCTGACAACAAGATTGGTAAGYTATGTGTTCCAAATATAGATCATAATAAGATATATCCTTGTCCTATATAGGCTTTGCACCATCACGTGATGGCAGCCATGACAGGAGGCAGGACCAACTGAATCTGGTTTAGTCTGATTTACATCAGAAAGAATTTAGTTTCCTGGGGGAAAAGATTGCCGTGCCTCCTATCATGGCTGCCATCACGTGATGGTGCATAGCTTCTCTCTCCCTATGTGAATATATCTTTTTATTATAAATACGCAGGTGATCAAATCAAATCAAATCCACATCAAATCCACAAGAACGTTTCTCATTGTTCGAGCTCCCGCTTCAAAACTAAGAAATTAAATTGGAAACAACTAATGAATAGATTTGAAACACTTTAGGGGAATTTTCTTGACTAATTTTGTGTTTTCATCAGTTTTTCCAGCTGGAATCCTTCAAGATCCATTCTACGATGAATCCCACCCAAAGTAAGTCTCTGTAGCCAATCCTCTTTACCTTGGGCGTAATGTTTTCCAATTTCAGACCACGTGTCATTCCCTAAAGTATCATTTGTTTGTTTAATGGCTGAACATCAGAAGACACATGAAAAGGGATTCAACTCAAACAAAGAATCTTATTCTCAAGAGAATGAGATGCACGTGGTCTAAAATGGGGAAAAACCCGAGGTAAAGAGGTCAATTTCTGAATCGCGCATGGTTTAATTGGGTATCATCGCTGGCGCATTTAGATTCTTGATTCGATATTTGTTTTGTTCACGTTTGTTTTCAAAATCAATCAATCAATAAACTTTATTTAAAGAGGGTGATGTATTAACCCAGTGAGTTATCTAACTTACGGCCCTTGTGATGGTTCTCAACAGATCTCTTAACTACGGTGGTATCGGTATGGTTGTAGGGCACGAAATTAGTCATGGATTTGACGATAATGGTACGTATGTGTTAGAGACTGCGATACTTAATGGCTGGCAGATAGTGAGAGAGAATGCTGATATACCATTTATGGCGCACTGCATTTTGATTTCCCCACATGTAGCCTCACATTCAAGCGTTTCGGGCGAGGTTACATAGTCTTTTTTTTCCCCTTAAATTCTCGTTTGAATAAACATGGCGCCGTCTGTTCAAGCTAGGTCCATTGTCATGACGTATTTATGAAAACCATCGCCTCGTGAGGGGTAGGGGTGGGGGTTGAGTGAGCGCGAGGGGTGAGTGGAAGGGATTGATGAGGAATTGCTTTCTTGATCTATTTCTTTCTAAATCTAGAATTTAATGATGTTCTGCGTCATTTGTTTGCAGGACGCAAGTTTAACAAAGACGGGAATCTTAAAAAGTGGTGGACAAACGGTTCAATCAAAGCATTTGAGGAAAAAACAAAATGTCTAGTTGAACAATACTCAAACTACAAATTTCACGGGAAAAATGTAAATATAACAAAATAATACAGTAATTAGGAAATAGGGGCAAACACAGCATATCTATTAATTTAATTCAAGATAACATAGTTTTTGTAATTAAGTAATAAAGCATTTTCCATTTCAGTTGAATGGACTTCAAACTCTCGGTGAGAACATTGCTGATAATGGTGGAATTAAGCAATCCTTCCAGGTATTGTGTAATATATATATATATCGTGACCCACCCACCCCTCCCTTACAGGAGTATTGCTGACCACGTCCCCTCCCCATGGGGGTAAGTAAAAGGGCGGTTTGTTTTTACAGCCGCCATGTTTTAATTTAACAAACTGAGACTTGTCTATAGGCTGCTAGCAATAGACGTCACTTCCGGTAATAGCTCTTTTTTGATGGCTTGTAGAATCCTGGAGGTTGTTTTGATCTCTTGTTTTCTGGTTTGATGTCGTGAAAATAGTCAAATACAATAGTTTGATGACTTATTTTGATATGTTTTGACTTAACATCCGCTAGTTGCGCYCCAGTCAACCGCTTGTTTGCCCCCCAGTCAACTCCAAAAAGTCACGTGATTGATAGTAAGCAATAGAGTGTGTGCAATCATGTGACTCAAAAAACAATGAAACAGCCGCCATCTTGGCTGATCTAACAAGAGAAGCTAATGAGGAATGCTTTGTTATCGTCAGCCAAGATGGCGGCCATGACGTAACATGCACCTGCTTTATAGTCTCTTTTGTGATATCAACCAACATGGCCGCCGTGTCTTGCGTAATTTAAATTTGTTGGGAATGATAACAAATTAGCAATAGGAGTATTTATGCAATATATGTTAATAGGCTTACCAAATATGGAAGAAGAAGAACGGAAAAGAAGAGAAGAGACTTCCAGGGTTAGACTTGAATCACGATCAGCTGTTCTTCTTAAGTTTTGCACAGGTTCGTACTTCTATGCTAACTTTCATTTCTATATTACACGGGTAAGAAAAGTTGCTATAAATCAAGACGTCGAACAAATTTCTAAACCTTACTCGCTGCACTCCGCCGTCCTTTTTTTATCTTCACAAGCGTAGCACTTAATAGCCAGTGGCTAACAAACCTCTGGCCCTCATTCCGTGATCGAATCGTAATTTAGGAGTTGATTTTTGTGGAGGGAGGAAAAGCTGAGAACCAGCGGAAAACCCCTTGAAACACAGGAGAGAACCAACAAACAACTCTACTCAGATACAACACCGAATCCGGTGGGACTCGAGCTCGGGTCGCATTGGTGAGAGGTGAGCGCTCACACACTACGCCACCCGTGCTTCCAATGCTTCCGTGGTCAAGTCAAGACCACCATTCATTCATAGTCCTCACTCATCCCCTTCTTGTTACATCACCGCGCCGCGGGCTGCCTAGTGTGGTCGTACCTCAAGGTCTCGTGTGTTTTTTTTTTGTGTCACAGATCTGGTGTAGCTCGTTCCGTCCACTTGCAGCTGTTAGTGCTGTAGAGAATGGAGTACACAGCCCAGGACAGTGGCGGTAAGTAAAGACTAGTACTAGGGCCATACTTTTATCACAACCAGGGTTATATTGGGGAAGGGGGAGGACGTCAAAATTGGTAATAGGGGTTGGGAAGGTCGTCAAAATTAGTACTAAGAGTAAGGGACGTCGTTCTACTTGGTCAGGAGCGACAATTTATTGCTATTCCATCAATGTTGCTCTACCCTAACGAGATTTTATCTGATGTTATTCCTTCCCCAGGGTCATAGGTTCGCTTTCCAACTCGCAAGAATTCGCCAAGGCCTACAAGTGTCCTGTTGGGTCTAGAATGAACCCGGCAAAGAAATGCAAGGTCTGGTAAGAACGATCACCTCCCTGGAATGGAAATCAAGCATTTATAAACCACTCTTATACGTAACTACCATTGATTTAAACCTTGGACTTCCTCACTCGCGACGTCGATTACTTTTACTGTGAACAGTCCTTTCATTACTATAAGCATTAATATGTATATTGTACTTTGTATTAATAGTGGTCCTAGGTTCTGTTCTTGATATTCCCCTTCACAGTTCCCTGCGCCATCTTGAAAGGTAGCCGTGCCTTTACATCGGAGCGAGACGAACGGTGAGCTTGCAGATATAGAGATATTTCTTAACACCTTGGACAATTATTCACATCTCTCTATCATTGCAAGCTCACCGTTCGTCTCGCTTAGATGCAAAGGCACGGCTACCTTTCAAGATGGCGCAGGGAAATGTGAAAGGGACTATTGTAGAGAGAGCAAAACTTTGGCTTTAAGATTAGATATGTGGCATTGAAAACGATATTGCAACAATCTGATCACTACAAATTTCATAGGAACACTGATGTAGGCAAGTTCATTTGCCAACAAAATCCGTGGTTCTGATTTGAATATAAAAGCGCTAGATTCTATTGAATATTTTGTACTGCGTTTCTCATCAGTCTTTCTATGAAATTTTATTAGAATCTATTAGAAAATGGTGTATTGGACTAGAGAGGGTCCAGCTCTCTCAAATGTAGATTAATGTGTGTTCCGTAAGCTTCGTATGTCGTTAGGGATTCATAGCTGGGTCACTAAACATTAATTCAATGATTTTCAAACGCAAGATTGACGTGACAATTATTTGCGAACAAGTGTAATTTAAAACAACAATAGTGTTGTCCTATCGATTGCGTTACGCTCTCTCGCTAGAGTCACGCAACTGACTTAATCATAGTTGAAAATAAGCAAGCAAAACTTACCTAAAAACTTATAATCACTAGATAGATGCATTAAGTATTTTTCCTCCTTGACCGCTTTCCATCAAGGAGTTTCATGATAGCAGCTGTGGAATGCCGCAGGGATTGGTTGTTTGTCCACTCTACTAAACTGTAATCAAAGGCTTTAGAAATTATTGTACTTGATTATTATTGAGCCGCGTCACTGAGTTTTTCTGCTAGCCGATATCTTAAAAGGTGTTTACATACAACAACTGTGGGATTCCACAGCGATCAGCTGTTGATCCACTTTATTGCTATATAACGAATTTCATCAGCTAGCCATTTTTACACTTGAACAAAGACTAGAACTGAGTAATTGTGGTGATGTGATGAAAGTGTACCGTTGCTTTGTTGAGGTACAAATGCTATGAAAAAGGCAGGTTTCTCTTTACATTAAGACTAGAACTGAGTAATTGTGGTGATGTGATGAAAGTGTACCGTTGCTTTGTTGAGGTACAAATGCTATGAAAAAGGCAGGTTTCTCTTTACATTTTACAAATCGCTTTAATCATTCCTTATACTTCTAATTACGTTTTGATACTATAACTACCAGAGTCCTTTGCATACTTCCTTTTGTTAAAACATTTGAATAAAAAAAAAAGCAATTCCACGATTCAAAAAGTATTCTAGTAGCAGTGATATCAAGACGTAATTGCTGATTTTCATAGCTGCCATGTTGGTTGAATTTGAAGAAAGGTATGTCATTAGTCTCTTTTGTTATRTCATCCAACATGGCGGCCACGTCTTTTGTCCTTGACATGTGACGTCATAGCCGCCATGTTGGTTGACTTGAACAAAAGATTTGGTCTTGGTCTCTTTTGTTATGTCATCCAACATGGCGGCCATGTCTTATGTCCATGTGCATGTGACGTCATAGCCGCCATGTTGGTTGACTTTTACAAAATACTTGGTTTGTTCTGTTCTCTTGGGAGTGATGGAAAACCAACAAAGTGGAACGGAAAAATGAGCTACATATATAGACCTTTCCCGAGTTCGCTTGACCGATCACAAAACAATGGTTTCAAGTCGAGGTTGAACTTGATGAATAAAAGAATCAAGTCAGTCTCGACTTCAAACCATTGTTTTGTGGTCATCCAAACGAATTCGAGAAAGTTCTATTGGCGCTCGCTACGTCTCGTACTCAATTTGCAACTCGTTTCTTAATGGATGTATATTAAATATCCTTGAAAGCTTCATATATCTTGATTTAAACATGCATAAGTGGTAGTAATTGGGGCTTATTAACAAATACATGTTTATTGTGCTTTTCTTGATTAAACAATAAATTTCAAACGATTTCTTTTTTATTGTCATGCATTCTCGACATGTTCTAGCCTTTTATATGACACCTACGGGCCGCCATGCTGGAAGAAGTTGACAAAATATAGTTTCTTCCAATATGGCCGCCGTGTTTGGTTATTTTATTCCCTTTGAGAGGATTCCACGAGGAAGAGTGGTTTGAGGACGAAAATGAGCTTCAAAACATGGGTCTCTACACTCCATTCAGTTAAATTTTGACTTTATTTTTGTTGCACCTCTTGAATCCTATGAATTTTTACATTTTATTTACTATCATAATTCCATCTACCTTGGCTTTTTTAAGGCCTTTCCAACAGCGTCAAGGCATATTTACGTACTATTAAAAAACACAATGAAGAAATTCTACATAGTTAACAGCATTTGTTTTCCAACGCTAAACTTTAGTTAAAACCTTTCCTTTCAAAAATCTCCGTACCTGGAATCATGTGACCTCCACGTGATCCATCACGTGAACACATGCGGCCTGGAGCGCAGTGTGGGTAATTTCTGTAACAACAGTATGTGGGCTCAGCTGGCGCTGCGGGACAGCAGACTCCGTCTTCCTTGCAGCATCGGTTATGGGTACAACACGTTGCTTTAGGGTTAGGACAACAAGCTACCTCATTGAAGGTCTTGGTGATGAAGCTCTTGTACGTGAAGACAGCTAAAAAGCAAAATATAAATGTTAAAAAGAAATTACTGGGGGAGGGGAAGGTGGAGACATTTTCTTTCGAGTTCGCAATCTTGTGAGAAGGTTTCTGCACTAGATTTTGGTTCTCACTAGCGACGGAAGCCGACGCAAGCATGAGCACAAGCACAGGCGGACGCGGAAAAAAAAAAAAAAAAAAAAAAAAAAAGGGCGCAAAAAAAAAAAAAAAAAAAAAAAAAAAAAAAAAAGCAAAATATCTTCCGTTCTCTTGCCCTTGCGCGGATAACATTAGCTATAACGCAAACGGAAAGATAACTTTGTGGGATAAAAAGAAACGAAAGCCCTGACCTTTACAGCAAGTTTCTTGAGAACCACAGCAACTAGATGCTGTAGGAGTGCACACTTGAGGATACGGTCCAGAACATCCACAGCCTTTAGAAACTGTTGCTGCATCTCGATGGCATCTGTTAATATCTTGGCCTTTCGCATTACACCACTTGGAGCACGTTAGATCATCTCCAGCCATTTTCCAGTACTGACGATCTACGAGGCTGGAAAAAGTGGTAAATGCTCTGAAGCTTGGTCCTCCTAGAGTATAGGCCATGTCAACCATCACATTTTGAACCGGACAACACAGAGTCGAGAATGACTTGATGACACTTTGAGCATCTGCAATAGCAGTTTTGACACTGATTTCCAAAAGTTTATCGATTTGGTTTTCTTGGAGGCAGGGAACAGCAGAGCAATAGGCGACTTGCACTAAGAAATCACGTGACTTCTTGGATGGCAAACGCGCGCTATGTAAACAAACATCAAGATGGCCGCCGTCGCACCGGAAGGCGACAAAAACAGGTTAGTACAACCACTTAGACGTAACTTTTTAGCTTTTTTCTACCAAATATTGGTACCCATG